GGTATGAGGTAATGCACCAGTGGATAAGGTCGCCAGGCGCTAATTCAAGCGGCATCTTACCGCGCTGTTACGTACCTAATACAAAACAGTGCCCAAATTATTATACATTTAAAAGTTCAGCTTAAATTATGTTTTACTGACATAGAATATTTGCTTCCAAAAAACCCACACTCATGCATCCTCTCGGAAATGGTACAAAAGTCATCAAATAAAAGCTGTGGAGTTTATGGTGGTTGGCTACCGTCCACAAATATAAATATGCACTCTGCATGGCTTTTTAAAATGGCAAGTCCAAAAATTCACTTTGCTGCATACCTTCCTTTTGGTCTACATGAAATTGCAAACACTGTTAATACATCAATTTTTTCATGTGCTAAAAATCGTACTTATCTAAAAGGCTACATGTCCAAAATTATTGCTACGTGTTCCTAATTAATCAATCTTTGTATATTTATTGATTCCTGCAAAACTGGGACATGTAATATTAAAATTAACACATGTTTCTGCATTGTTTACATATTTTGATATGCGTTTTGCCATTTCTCTCTCGCAACTGCACCAGATGACGTCACGCAAAATTTACGCTCAAAAATCCTCTCTCATTGGCGTAATCTTGTATTCTATCATTCTTGTACGCGTAGCAAATTGCAACTAAGTCAAAGTAAGTTGCTGGCACTATCAGCATTCAATCTTTTGTACATTTCTACGAATGTAACTATCTTTTGGTACGCAACAGTACGAATGAGAAATGGCGAAGCCTATGATTTGCCTAGCATACGCCTCTGCTCATCTCTGGTCATGGCGTGTGGGCTTGCTTACAGGCAAACTAATTAAAACGGAATTTTTGTCACTATCGTCGTACGCACGATTCACAGCCACAAATTCACCTAAGTCGTATCTTTGTGTGCATTTGAATGCGATTCGCTTATGCGTGTGCTCGTATGTAGATCTAGTTTCCTTCAGAGATAGACAATCTTAGCATGCATTTTTGCGCCAAATCGGTAAACAGACTGCAGCGCAGATAACGGACACAAGGGAAAAGTTGCGGCCGGCAGTTGTGTAACGAAAGCACTAAACGTTGTGCATTAACAACTGGGGATGAAACGATACAAGTAAATACAAGTACATAAACATTTTCCTTTTGAAGGTCGGTCTTGAAGTTAAGGTAACTTTTCACTTAATCAGACCTTTAAAATGACTTTTAAAAGTAAAATTTTAATTTTCTTTTTCTTTTTTTACTTATATAAAAACAGCTTGTAATAAACTTTTTAAAAACAATTTAAAATGAAATGCTTGTTTGATTCTTGCGAACAGCAAAAATATGGGTTTAAATCTTTTTAAAAACTTCCTTGCATACTGGTTTCATGCCAAAAAAAGGAAACAATTTAAATAATCTATTTTTGAGTGTCATTTTAAAGGTCGAGATAATTATTCTACCAAACGATACTATTTTTTCTGTATTCCCATCCCAAAAGCTTTGAAACACCGTTACATTTATTTCGTTAACTCTTCGTGATCGTCGGTTCGAATCCTACTGAAAGAAGTCTGATGAGGAAATGTGGTGATTTCCGAAATAGCTATCACTTCTACATTTTTTCAAATTATTGTTGCTTTTCCACAGTAAGTTTTCACTTTAAACGGCCTCAAGCTCATAAAAATTGTTGAATTTATTTCTTTAAAAAAATTAAATGGAATCCAGTTCATATGGAATACCTTCATAGCTAAAAGTACTGACACGAGTAGGTATCGATACTTTAGAACCGATATTTTTCGGGTATCGATACTTTCTTACGATACTACTTACATCCAAGTAAAAGTATCATAACCTGTATGGTATCGTTTCATCCCTATGCACAATACGTTGCAATACACCGTAGTTTAGTCAAGCACTACCCTGCCCCTACCTGGCTACACCCATGCTTGAAACCTATTTTTGGTTAAATAATAACACCGATAACATTTCCGTAGCATCAAAATGATCGGGTCCACATGGCAGTAGTAAAAAGTTAGTTTGTTAATATTCGCAATGTTTTATATGCTAAATTTTTTTATTTTTGTTTTGTATTGAAATATGGTTTATATTTTGCAAACCCCATTTAAATTCAAATATGAAGTTGTGTAGGAAAGTTATGAAAAATCTGCAAAGAAAACTTTTTAACACGAATTTCGAAAAAAAATCAGTTATGCAGTTTTATAGTCCATTCAGTTTTTGTACAATAATGTACAAATTTCAAATGTATTAACAATTCTCAAAAATTATCGCGAACTTTCGAACGCTTGAAAAAAGAGCACAATTTGTAATTTAACTTTGGACCGTTCCTAATATATTTTTACGTTGTTTTTGTTGTAAGGCTTACAGAACATAAGCTGTACTAAATTTTCGTATAGATTTGCAATTTTTTTAATCGTGTGCTACAATTATGAAGGATTTCTGGAAGGTATGGTTTCTCCGAAAAAAAAAAGAAAATTTGAAATTCTAGTTGGAAAGCCGCATATATCTTGAAATGAAATGAACCAATTAGTCCAATATTTTGTTGGACGCAAGACAAAATATGTAGTTATCGATTGACATCTATAAACTTTGTCCAGACAAAATTCTATTTTTTTGATCTTGGAGAGAGTTTTGCTTCACATCGAAATTCGTGCTCCCTTAAGGCGCTGCCCCAATGCAGGCTTGCTTTGCACGTCTTACTTAAGGCGCTGGCCCAATGCAGGCTTGCTTTGCATCCCTTGCTTACTTTAATTTGCTTTGATTTACTTCAAAAACTCGTTTGGCCAAATGGCGGCTTGGAACGCTGTCAAAGCAACCAGCTGTGTAGTTGAAAAGTCAAGGTCTGTTTCCTTACACTAAGAATAATTTTGCCATCAAATTCCAGAAAATTAAAAAAAAGAAATACAAAACTATCTTTTCAGATTTATTTTTAAATGAATGTGAATTAATTTTTGCATTTCAAAGGAATGATAATAATTATACAGACATATATAACTATATATACATTTATTAGAAACAAAAAACTNACAATATATTTTCACTATTACCAAGGGATTTGAGAAAAATTAGATTTTCGACCCGCCCTAGTGTACATATATGGTATATGGTGTATGGAAATATCCCTTTTCCCTAGCAGTAAACCTTTTAGTGTGGTCAACAATGATGTTTTTCAAATAAGCCAGATCGGAATATGCGCTCTCTGGGAAGACAATACCTGTAATTATTGTACCATGACATTTATCCAACTTCAAGTAAACAACTTCTCTCCGTGTATTTTTTTTTTTGTTTTTATTTTTCGTACCGGATGATTTTGGACCACGTGAACTGTTTTCGATAATTCTTGTTTTTCATCGGTCTCATACTAATTTGATTTAAGCTTTGTTGTTTTTTCCATTTTTCCAAACAAACAAATCGGTGGTTCAAAGCTCAATAACACTATTCAAATAAATATTTTTTTAATTTCATTTTATTTTGCGAAACTAATTTTATTATTTTTTCTTTCCTTGTAAAACTGTAGAACTCGATAGCGGAAAGTGTCAAAACTGGACTGAATGGGAGCAGCTTTAAAAGGGCAATTCTTCAATATTTCAGTGGAATCTACATACATATATGGCTTCTGCATGTTGACTATAAATAATCCTGAACCAGTGACAATTTCAGGGTAGAGCTAGGGCTGATTTTCTGTAGAGCGGGAAATAAAATAATACAACTGTGTTAGAAAATGGTTTATTTCAGAAATTCATGGAACTCAACTTGCCACGTCTGTCTTCTATGGGGATCACCTGATTACTATTTCTATTTCTATATCATTTTCTTCGTATTAAGTTCCTCTGTATTACTTTTAAGTTAAAAAGTGTTAATATTTTCATCTATTCGTCCGACATGGCCTAGCCAGTGCAGCCGCTGTATTTTGATTCGCTGAACTATGTGCGTGTTGTTGTAATTCTCATACAAAAGCTGAGTTTCTATCGTTCCGGGCACTCACCGTCGCCAACGCGCAAAGGCCCGTAAATCTTCCGCAGAATCTTTCTCTCGATCACTCACAGATGTTTTCATCGTCTAAACCTCTACGTCGTACATCAAAAGGGGAATCACGAGAGACTTATAAGGATTGACTTTGATTTGCTAAGAGAGGACTTTACTTCTGAATGGCCTACTCAGTCCAAAGCTGCACTTCGCACACCGTCTTCAAAAGAGTCACAACTCAAAATAATACGTTCGTCAGAAAATACGAAAAAATATTTCTTAGCACATGGTAATCATATGGGCAAGGGCGACTTTACCTAAGGTTTTTAACAAATTATAACAAAACTTTGCTCCAGCTTTTGCTGAAAGGTAAATAGAAACTCCGTGTATATTTTTAGCGCATAATCTCAAAAATGCAAAATTTTGAGTTGTGACTCTTTTGAAGATGGTGTGCGACTAATTGGGAAGAGCGATTCTTCGTTGGATTTTTTTGGCATTATTGCCATACATGATTTTAATTTAATTTAATTTTAAATTTTTTCGCTTCACAGAGCACTTAAAGTGTGAGATTTAGTTCTAAAAATTTTTAAATTTGTTAAAAATGGTTACAGAAAAAGACAACATAGAAAAAATACGTGTAAAACATTTAAACTTCAAATTTCCATTTACGAATTCAATTTCATTAGTGTTGACTATGGCGTGATCATTTTGACAGAGGATAAGTAAATTAGAAAAAAGTTCTCAACTAGAACGGTAAATCCGCCTTTAAGAACTGCATGTACCTACATATCTACATATTCAAAAGTCAAAAATTGAATTGTACTCAAAATTTATTTTTTGTTTTTTTCACTTAAAAATAACAATAATCTAAAAATCAAGCACAAAATCATTTTTAAAATGATCAGCACAAACTTAAAACATACAGATAAGGGCACCAACTCAATTCGAACAGAATCAAATTGTAATTATTTTTGCTTTGATTTTGATTTTGATAATTTTGCAGCATTAAAATCTAGTAGTTTTCCGTGGTTCTGACATAGTTGACACCGGACGGCATTGAAACCTTGTCGAAGCCTTTTGGGAATAGTCTATTTGCTTCCTCGTCGGTCACATCGGGTAGAATCATAACTTTCGTACCAGGCTGTATTGAGAAATAGATACAGGTATATAAATTATAAGTCCACAAATAAACTCGAATACAAAACCAAAACTCACCGTCCAGTTAGCGGGTGTGGCCACCACCTTCAGCTTGTCTGTCAATTGCAATGAGTCAAGACAACGCAAAATCTCACTGGAATATTAAAAACTTTAAATGAGAACCGCTCGTGACAATATTTAAAGCTCATCGCTAACTTACTCAACATTACGGCCCATGGACATGGGATAGAACATCGACAAACGCACTTTATGATCGGGGCTGATGATGTAGAGTGCGCGTATGGTTTTGCCAATTTCTACATCTCGCTTCTGCTCCTCATCTAACATGCCAAAGAGTACAGCCAAATCACGATGAGGATCGGCAATTATGGGGTACGGGAATTCACCGGGAATATCCAGACAATAGGACTTGATGTCGTTTACCCAGTCAACATGTGACTTCAGATCATCCACTGAATGGGCCAAACACTTGGCATTACGCTTAGCGAACTCCGGCTGATGGACAGCGATGCGACCCAGTTCAGTGGTACAGACGGGTGTAAAGTCCGACGGATGCGAGAATAGTACAACCCAACTATAAAATTATTCAAAAACTATTAATGCAACTGCTTCATAAAGCGCTATAAAAAGTGTTGTAATAAAAACAGTGTCAGAGCAATCTATCAATCTATAACCATTGATATGCATACGTATGTACTTACATATGTAAGTATACATATATGTATATTATATCAAGCAAGAACCTACATACAATAATAGTTTATTTTTCATATCTGACTTTGTTTGAATTGAAGATTGTCATATCGTGGAATGCATAGAGGCTGTCATTAATATACTTGTACGCGACTAAAATATATTTATTTGTAATACTTTATGGCTATGTATAATTTTTATGTATTTTTGTGCTCGTTGTGGGTTGGAATGTGGAATTTGATATTTGCATTGCATTAAAAAAATTAAAATAAATCTTACGTTAGTAAATATTATTTAATAATAAGTACGGCGGAATGAGTGTGTGTGTATGTACATTAGACTGCGTTAAATAAAACGACAACCTCTTTCTGTCCTTAATGAAAATTTCATTGTCGAACATTAAATACCCGGCGCAAGTAAGTTAAATTGCGCAATATTGAAGTTTCAAGCATTTCTGAAATTTACCGTTATATGAAAAGCGGCCGTAATTTTAGTTCGATTTCAATAATTTTGAACGTTTTGCTTTTATGTGGCAAGCACAATAACCGTACCGAGTGTGGTACAAATTGGTATAAAGGTTATCGAGATACATATATGTGACCATAAGCGGGCGATGCCACGCCCATTTTCCAAAATTTTATCATAAACGTATTTCTTGGTAAAGAATTGTTGCAAACATCAATTTGGAATAAATTGGCTTTAATATTTACTGATTTATCGAAGATTTCGTATTTTTCTAAATTGCCGTTATATGGGGTGTGGGCGTTGTTATTGTCCGATTTTAAAAATTTTCGGCTATTTGGGATGCTGTACCAAGGCCAACAACTGTGCCAGGTTTGGAAGAAATTGTGGCTGCGCTCACCAAGATATACAAATGTAACCATAATGGGCGAAATCGGACGGTAACCACGCCCACTTCCCATATAACGGTAATTTCCAGAAATAAGAAAACTGCGATATTTTAGTAACTACTGACGATAATTCACTAAAAATTAATATTTACAATGATTTTTAAACGAAAAATAAGAATATTATACATTTTTGGAAAATGGGCGTAGCCACGCCCACTTATGATTGCATGTGTATATCTTGATAACCGCTTTACCAACTTTTACCAAAGTTGGCACAGTTGTTGGCCTTGGTACAGCATACCAAACGGCTGAAAAATCTTAAAATCGGACAATACGCTCACATCCCATATAACGGTAACCGTTCAATCAATTTATATGTATCGGTATGACTTTTATATGATGATGTTATTTTATGAATAAACTGAGAGGTCTAAGATTTAACACACAATCACTAAGGGCCGTTTGCACCATGTCTAGTTAACGCTAACTGGAGGTACATCCTTCAGTTAAGCACGTTAACAGCTTTATCGATCACATGTTATATGATGGGTGTCGATAACGTCGATAAAGATGTTTAACTGGGAGTTAGAATTAACTAGACATGGTGCAAACGGCCCTAAGAAGCAAGTGAAATTTGCTTACTTTCTTACACCTTATGATTTTAAAATATGACTAAAATTTGTTTTTATTTTTAACCGACTTCCAAAAAAGGAGGAGGTTATCAGTTCGTCGGAATATATTTTTTTTTTTNTTTCTAATTAATAGTTTTGATGTGGCGAAATAAATTTTTAAAATATATTAGCAAAATTATATGCAGCAAAGTCGTTTCTAATTATAAGGCCACCACTGTATATATATATATATTTTTCTATATGGGAGTTGAAGTCGGTTTTTTTTTCCTAAAAATTACTAGTTTTGTGTGAAGTCATTTCATTTGTTTACATTATATCACACGCGAATAAAATCAGATAACAAACAAACTAAAATTTCACTTAAACTATCTCACTTACGAGTTGCCCTGCCAATCGTAGAAGCTAATGGGCCCCTTGGTGGTTTCGGCTTTGAAATTCGGCACTGTTGCTCCCAAACGCATTTTTAATTATTATTATTTTATTAATTATTATTAAATATTCAACGATTTAAACACAAGCACAGTTGTTCACTTACTGATGCCAATTCACAGTAATGCCACGGCTTTTATATTTTTTCAGCTGTCGTTCGTTGAACATTATCTGTGGCGCCTTCAAATCTGTTCATTTGCATACGATTATAGCCACTACTGGCAGTTCGTATGTGTTAAATTTGTTAAGTATGTTCTGAGAATTTCATCACGAGAGCAAAACGAACGTCAACTCTCAACGCTTCCAATAATGTAAGGTAGCAGGCAAACATTCAAGTTCTTATCAAGCAAATGTTTATGTTTTTTATCTGTAATGATTTATTAAATGAAATTTCAATTCTGAATGCAACTTGGTGTTTGACGATAGAAAATTCAGGGGGCTTCTCTTAAATTAAACAACTTTACATCATCTTTGTAAGATGTCCACGTTTTAGTAGAATAGTAAATTTACGAGCGTCAGCATATTTGTAAAGTGTAAAACATTTATTTTTCAGAAGCGGTGTTGAAGTTTTAAAGTTCAAATTAAATCTCATCATGCCGAAGATGGAAATGCATAATCAATTCTGAAGAAAATGGGTGAAAATCTAGGATGCGCCGGTACATGTTAAAGGATTTTCATTAGAGTATTGAATTTCGTCGGATAATATTGCGATTATTTATCTTCGTGTTGAACGGTCCTCGTTAAGCTATTAAAATCAGTAAGCAATTATCCACCTTCGAAGTGTCAAAAACATATTTTTTTACCTCCGACTGTGTCAACTTATGTACCTGCAAAACAACTTGCCCAAAGCTTTAGGCATGGGTAACACTGCGCTGCGCGGCGCAATTACGGTAACACCGTAGCCGGAGTCGCCGCGCTAACACCAGTATATGGAAAGCGCCAGCGCTATTAACACCAAGCAACACATGAGGCACCAACACAATTCGCCTTTGAAAATTTACACGTACTTTGCTTTTGCTTTTGAGCGTTGAGAACGCAAATTTAAAGCTTTTACTCAAGAATGATGAGAATATCGTGCCATTTACTACATTCCTATCAATTAAATTTGGTTGGCGGTACAAGCATTACTCAGCGCCGAAAATTATAGAAATAATAGACATGACACCACTGTATGGTGTACTACACTGTATGACGATGGGTACTGTAGTGACACTCAGATGGCACCGTGTTCAATTCAGTACACTGCACTATTGCGCTGAGTAAGTGCGCTGACACCACAGGTGGCGCTGGCGTTATTAAGCTAGCGCCAAA